AATGGGGAAGGCCCGGTGCCTATTACCGCGTTAACATTCTCTTAAGCCCCAGTGCAACAATGGAACAGGAAGGCGCAGGAAATCTGCAACTGCAGGGTACAGGGCAGGCGATTCAATTACAGCCGGGCCTTACCTATGTACCACTGACCTATAAAACACAAGAGGCCTTTGTGTCTAACCGGCTTGGCCATTAAGGCTGCTGAAGATCGCAACAATGCCGATCTTTTCTAGTTAAGTTAAATCAATGTGGACAAATCATTATTCAGTAGCTTTAATTTAATTAGTAGATTAAATACACTACTTTACAGATCTTGTCAAGCACTTATGAAAAGAAAGATTCATTTAAGCGGGAGGTCCCCAATAAGTCCAGCTAATTTAAGCCAGAGCTGTAGCCGAATCTCACCCTTAGAAACGCAGCAGCAGCTAGTCACGACTGTCTTAACAGTTTCCCTATGACTGTGGTTAACTCATGATCTGGAAGAACTCCTATCTTGTATCCGAACAGTTCTGGAGAAAAAAAAATCCAGAAAACAAAAATCCCAAAACCCAAATAAACAATCCCCCACCAACATAACCAGCATCCACAGAATCAATTTCCTTTAGATTATACTCTTGCAAGAGAATGTAATCAGGTTACCTCTATTATGTTGCTTCCTTAAGATTTTATATTATCTGTACTTAATTGAGATACAGAGTGCTTTTCAGCTATAAAGACGACAGCTACTTTATTAAGGTTTAAATCTGATTTCTTAATGATAGGCTGCTTCCTTTTAAAGACGCGAAACCTGCACAACCTTCTTATAATAAAACCAGACCCGGACTGGCTGAGTCTGGGACACAGTTCCAGACAGCCCGACAGTTCCTGATGGTGCCCGCTTCAGAGAAGAATTCTCCTGCTTTTGTTTCAGTGTTGGAATTTGAGGCAAGCACTTAAAAGGGAAGTCTGCCGTGCTCACAGCCTCGCCCTACACCTCTCCGAGGATGGGAAATTATTTCCCATTTCTGATACGGAAACATTCTCCTCCCCTCTGTGCTGTACACATCTTTGTTCAGTTAAAATGAATTAAAATTAATTCATCTTTTAGAGGTCTGTGACATCCTTCAAAATAGCAAAAGATATCCTAGGAGTGGCAAAACTAGACTGAGAGATCGCTGATTTGAATAATAATGGCAGCAGGCTTAAAAAAAATTCCAGAAAGGCAAGAATCTAGTCTTCATTTCTCAGGGCTACTGATACACAGAGATTCCCAACGAACTCTCTCGGAAGAGTCCATATTGATATGTGCATTTAAAAAAAAAGTCACGTATCTATTTAGTCATTAAGTTCCAGGTCCTTAAACACTCACAGGGACAGAGCAATAAATCTTCCTCCTGAGAACATAGTCTAGGAGGGCGAAGTGAGGTAGAGAAGAGCCGTGGAAGGGCTGTTTCTGGAGGCTGCCGGGTCCAAGTCTCCGTAATTACGTGTTTCACTGCAGGCATCCTCGCGCGCGCCCCTCTGCCAAGTCAGCTACTCACGTACTTTTTGGATATGGCATCAATTAAGCTTGAGTTGTGTTCCTTATGACGACTGAGTTAATGTCTTGACAGCGGCTTTCTCCACCAACACCGCAAACTGGCCACATTCAGAGGTTTTTAAAAACCATTTCTTTTCTGTTCAAAATCCTGACAAACATGTCTCAAGCAAGACCGAGGACAACTTCATTATCCTCCCGCCACTAAATGCCGTTTTGTATAGAAAGCTGTTTAATAACACATCTCCTCAATTTTCACAACTAAATTATTCCAGTTGGTCACACGTTTCCAGTCTTTGGCAAGACACTTGTGTTACAAGAGATAAAGACATGAAAAAGGAAATATATTGCAGAAATCAAAACCCTTATCTACTTCTAGACTCTCTCTCTTTGCCATAATTCATTCAAGAAGGCCTAAAGAATAATTTTTGATGTAAACTCAGCTACAAACATACATCACATTGCTGATAAAAATCACAGGCGAAACTTATGAAATATAGTGACTTTCATTTCTTTAGTGCTGTTAAAATAACTTTTTTCTAAGGTTCAACAGACACAAAAGATAAAAAGAGTTACCATTAATCCTTAAAAGAAAAAAAAAAGCAGCAGCAACCCTGTAGATTAATTCTGTAGTCTGTCGATGCGCTTAAAGATGAACTTTTTAGATTAAGTCACTGAATTAATTTGATGAAGATACTGGAAATCATAAAAAAAAATAATAAAAGCATCAAGGCTATTCATTCAATATGTCTTTGTTTGGTCACTTTGTATCATTAATTCTGTCGATTAACTTTTAGTGACCCAATCTGGCCTGAGTACAATTCCAAGACTGACTGCAGACACTGGCCAGGGCTGGCACACAGGGATGATGGTCCCTGGGACACGGTGTGCGTGCCCATGCAGGTGGTGGGGTGGCAGGTACCAACAGCTAATACAGCTCAGTGTGTGGGGTGAGGGCTGCAAACTTGGGGCGCAAGTCCCTGGGAGGGTGGGACACCAGCTGGACCCTGAACAGTGAGTGGGGGGCATGGGGAAGCGAAGGGGTCTGTAAGTCAGAGGGAGGGACATAAAGTCAGGCTTGATTGTGTAGGAGCACTTCACAGTGAGTGACCAGGGCCCACATTCGAAAGGGAAACTGCAAGGGGCCAAGGCCGCAAAGGAGTCTCAATTCATTATGGCGCGGGGACTCTGAAACCGCTTCCCTTTCAGGGGGTGCATGCAGGGGTGCGACAGTGCTGTGCCAGGCAGCACTTGGGTTTTTTTTTTTCTTTTTGGGTCACACCTGGCGATGCTCAGGGGTTACTCCTGGCTCATGTACTCAGGAATTGCTCCTGGCGGTGCTCAGGGGACCATATGGGGTGCTGGGAATCGAATCTGTGTTGGCCATGTTGGCTGCGTGCAAGGCAAACGCCCTACCCGCTGTGCTATCGCTCCAGCCCCAGCACTTGGGGTTTGTTCCCTGTGGTGGTAAGGGGGGCACGTGGTGCCAGGAACCAAGACAGAGCTGGCCATGTGCTAGGCAAGCACCTTAACTCCTGTACTCTCTCGGGTCGCAGACACCCCTCCCTCTCTCCTCCTCTTTTTTCCTCTTCTCCTCTCCCCCTGTCTCTCCCACTCCTCCCTTCTCTTCTTCCTCTTCTCCTCTCTCTCTCTCTCTCTCCCACTCCTCCCTTCTCTTCTTCCTCTTCTCCTCTCTCTCTCTCTCTCTCTCTCTCTCTCTCTCTCTCTCTCTCTCTCTCTCATTTTCTCTCCTTCCCATGCCTCAGTGAGTCCCTAGTCTTTGGCCCTTTTACATTCAGAATTCAAACATTTTTCAAACAGAAAAAGCTTTCTTCTGGTTGAAGGGGAGACCTTACCAGCTCTGCCCTTCTCTGTTCTTCCAGAGAACACAGAGCTCTGAGGAACACGAGTCAAAAAGCACTGAGGTAGGGGTGAGACTTTTGCTGTCTTCTACTGGGGCTACCACACATCACTTTTCAGAATGTTTCGCTATTTCTAGGTTCCTGGAGCCAGCGAGAGGATGGACCCACCCCCAGATACGCCTGTGTGTGCCCCACACTAGGTTGGGACGTATCTCCCTCCATGCTGACTGGCTTCCCCTGAGCACTGACATGGTTGGCTGGTGCCCTTGGCCGTGCCACGTGGCGGGATGGCCTCCACTCCTGGTATGGGTGTAAGGGAAATGGGGTCCTGGGTCTGGTCCTTTTCCCAAATCTGCCAGCCCGGCTTAATCGGCTTTCACATCTCAGACAGGCAGCATCTATAAAATGTTACTTTTCAGATCATCCTGAGTTCTTGGGGAGGAACAATGCGAGAAGAATGACGTTTTCACTAGCTGACAAGCTGGGAGATGTTCACTGAAGCAGAGGGAATGTGGCAGTGCCGGGGCCCAGATTCGGGAGCAGCAGGCCTCTGGCTCACTGGCCCCGGTGGCGACTAGCTATAGAGTGGAGGCCTCTAGTGGGGTAGCAGGAACGGTGGGATCAGGGTGTGCACGCCTGACTGCTGCCCACCCCATGCTCTCCTGAGGAGTCACGCTGTGGGCTACGAGCTGAGAGGTCACTGTGAGCCAGCAGTGGAGCTGACCAGACCGTGATCACCCACCACCCACAGGGCAGGGAGACTTGTGTCTTGCCCACAGTCCCCCACACCAGTGCAAACTCAAAGACTTGCACCACACCAGACACCCCCACCGGCCCCCACAGTTCTCACTGTTCCGAGCAACTCATTTCTCAGACTTGTTCTCACATGTACTGACGCCAGAACAAAGGGACTGACAAAATGAGAAGCCTGGATCATACAGGAACCAAGCCTGGTTCTCAAATAGGAACCTAACCGGGGTGGGTGGGTCGGGTGCTCTGCATTTGAAACGGGCTTCACAGGGGATGCAGAGGAGAACCCAGGACCACCCCCAGTTCCCACTGCTTCTCCCAGGAAGCCATTTCCATGCTGGACCACTTAAGCAGAGGGGTGTGGAGCGGCCGGAGATCTGAACGTCGGGCCTGTAGGAGTTTAATTATAAGCGGGTAGGTCACGCACGCAGCTGCCAATAACCTGCAGGGGGCCGACACGTCTGGCGTGACGGATATCTAAATCTGGCCTTCAGGAGCCACAGGAAATCCCCCATCTCCCCTCGACCTGGCAAGGCGGGCAGCAGGCAGGCCTGGGGCGACCGGTCAAATCCCCAAGGGAGAAGAAAGGGAGCACACAGTAAAACGGGGGTGCGGGGGCTCCACCAGGCACATTCCCAGCAGGGATCTGCCCCCCATGCCTCGCCGTGCTGCTGCGGGGACAGGGGAGCTGGGACCCGTGTCGGGCTTCTGGGCACCATCTTACAATTCCGTTTGATTAAAAGAAATTTCTGGTAATGAATTAAACAGACCCAAGGAAAAAAGGACACGGTGGCAATATATTCTCCTGGCACCCAGCACGCCGAGGCGAAGGGGGGCCGAGAGAAGGGCGACATAAATAAAAGGCGCTACTCACTGGGGCTTTTCTCCTCGGCAAGGTCACAGGCACAGAGCAGGTCAGAATCGATTGAGATGGGTTTCTGCTTAATCCAAAACTTCGTGCTGGCTTTCTGATTCGTCACCGGGTCTATCTCTACTTTGTCTCCAGAGATACCTGCAGGACGAGGGGGGTGGGGGAAAAGAAGCCACAAGAAATAGAAGGTGTCAGTGATTTCACAGTAGCCACTTGGCCTGTTTTATGGGTTTGGAATGGGAAGGATGCACATCCTTCCCCAGTTCTCTGGGGAATGAAAAGGGCTCCTTCAGACAGATGTACGGAGACTCCAGCGGCACCCAGAAGTAATACAGCTGGTTTTCCTGGGTGTGTGCGTGTGTGGGGGCTGGGGGTAGAGACCACTGAAACTATATGAAAAGGTATTAAGAAATATGCCTTCGAGATATAACATGGGTTCAATAGCTTATCCTACTATTTTAAAAAAATTTAATTTGTTTTGGGGTCATACCTGGCAATGCTTAGGGGCTACTCCCGGCTCTGTGCTCAGGGGTCCTTCCTGGTTGCATGCAAAGCAAGTGCTCAGCTCCTTCTCCAGCCCTGCCTACATATTCTTGTTTTGTTTCTGGGCCACACCCGGTAGTGCTCAGAGCTCACTCCTAGCTCTGGGCTCAGGGATTACTCCTGGGGAGGCTCGGGGGGCCATATATGGTGCCCGGGATTGAATCTGGGTCGGCTGTGGGCAATGCAAGTGCTCTACCTGCTGTACTATCACTCCCTGACTACATATTCTTAACTCTGTATTACTTCTATCCTATCTGACACAGTAAGATTGATTAAATGTCTTTGTTTGGTGGTCTCTTTCCCATATGATTTCTCCCCACCTTCCTCAAGAAGGTACGAGTTGGGCAGATAAATCTCTACTATCCCTGGCCCAATGGGTGCTGGAGAGACAGCAGGTAGGGCGTTTTGTCTCACGTGTTGTTGAGACTGAAGTGGTCATCGAGGCCCTAGCCAAACAGGGTGTTCAAACTCAATACATCAGGATCCTCCATGAGCTGTATTGCGGATTCACTACCAGGATCTCACCATTCTACAGGGAGGTGATCATTGACGTCAAGAGAGGGTTTTGGCAGAGTGATACCATTTCACCGAAAAACTTCAGTGCCTCCCTCGAGAACGTCATGCGACCACTGGAATTGGAAGGAATGGGAGTGAAGACAGACAGTCAGCAACTACACCACCTCCACTTTGCTGATAACATTGTTCTAATAACACCAAACATCAACCAAGCAGCACAAATGCTGGCCGACTTTGACCATGAGTTTGGAAAGGTAGGACTACAGCTGAATCTCATGATGACAATGTTTATGAGAAACAGTTTTGTTCCTGATGCTCCATTGGCTCAATGGGATGAACATGTCCGAATGCAACAGTTACGAGTACCTAGGTCGAGAAGTCAACATGACAAATGATCTGCACCTGAGGTGCGCAGGAGGAAGAGAATGGCTTGGAACGCCTTCAAGAGCGTTGAAGAAATAGCTAAGAGGACGAAGAACCTCTGGCTCCGGGCACATCTCTTTGATTCCACTGTTCTTCCTGCATCAACATATGCCTCAGAGACCTGGGGCCTATGAAAACAGGATGAGAATGCTATTTGGGTCTCCCAAAGACGAATCGAAAGAGCTATGCTTGGAGTATCACGCTTCACTCAAATGAGAGAAAGAATCTGGAGTTCCGACCTCTGTTGACGGTCAAGAATCAGGGACGCTGTCTTGTTTGCCAAGGCGTCAAACAAGTAATAAGATTTGGGCTGGACAAGTAATGAGATTTGGAGGCAACCATTGGACTAGAGCCATTACCGACTGGATTCCACGGGACGTCAAAAGATCGCGTGGCCGCCCACCTATGAGATGGTCAGACTTTGTCATGACCCTGAACGATTGTTTGAAGCTGTTCGTGTTCCTAGAATGAGCAGATGCCATTGGGCTATACTAGCACGCGACAGAGACGAATTGAGACATTACTGGCGCCCCCCTGAGCGGAATTGATGAGATATCAAGTGATCAAGTGACCAAGTTGTCTACCAGGCTTTGATTCCTGGCATCCTAAGTGCAGCCAGGTCTGGCCCAGATACCCAAACAAAAACAAAACAAAAAACCTCCTATGCCTATATAGCTAAGCTACCACAAAGAGTTTCTGATTTGAAAAATACCTTACACACTGAAAACAAAAGAAATTTCTCTGACATTAATTGATGGGAGCTCTGTTGAAAGGAGGCCACACAACAAGGGTCCTTGACGGAAAACCCACTGAACCCCAGCCCTGGGGGTCACTGGTTCTCTGCTCCAGGGGACAGCGGATTACAGAGGGTGAGTGCCTGGGAGCTGAACTGTGAGGGGAACAGAGGTGACACCAGGGTGGACAGTGTCCTGTGCGCCACCGAGGCAGTCCCTGTCTTGGTTACAGAGCACCCCACGGCCCTGACGCCAGCGAGGCTGCGAGGCTCTTCTCTTTGTGCTGAATACTGAGGGATCGGTCATGAGGTGGGACCCACATGCCCAACCTGTCTTCCAGAGTGGACCCCAGATGGAGTCTTAAAAGTAATTAGATTGTAGGTCATAGTTTAAAGGTCAGGGTCAAAGTGGGGAAAAAGCAAGTGAAAAGAAGTAAAGATATCAGAAAAAGTAAAAAACAATCAGAGGTATATCCTGCAACAGAAAGGACAATTAGACTCAACATATGTCACACTCGTGGGTCACACTCAGAAAACCGCAATTTCATGTGAGAAAACCTGGGAGGCCCAAAGGAAATGCAGATGAAAGGAATCACTCAATTAAAATCTGACCCCATACCCCATGCACCCCCCCAAACACACACACACACACACACACGCATACAGGTTAAGAGCAAATTTAAAGTTAAAAGAAAACAAATCCACACATGATTTGAATGATTAGGGATGTCACCCTTCCTGTGTTCTAGTTTATTCTATGGGTAAGGAAATCCCCAAAGGTATCAGACAAAGGCAGTGGCTTTTGGAGGGTGATGGGTGGGCCTGTCCGCAGTGCTGGCGTTTTCCTGTGGTGTCATCTATGGAATGACAGACAATTGGTATTTGTTCTCCTAACTGAACGCTGAATTTATTGTGAGACACAGTTCAGGAATCCCATGCTTCAGTTAGGCATACTGTCCTATGTCTGACTCTGGGCATTCAGGTCTAGATGATTGCAGGAGGGTGAGAGGGCTCAGGAGCCAATCTTACTGCATTTCACTTAGAATAGATTACAACTGCCCCCTTTATCCTCTTCCCTCCAATTTGGTCATTAATTGTTAAAGATCTGGACATTTCTATAGTTCCCTGAAAGAAGAAAGGTATTTAAGCCATAGCTGTTGGTAGCACGTGCCCTCCTCCCCTGCCCCCACCCAGCTGCGTATTCTGACATTTATAAAAGTCAAAATGAGCAGAGTGAAATAAATGTGCATATCCCTACTGTGGAATAAACCCTGCCCCTACATTCTCTCCTCGGAAAGAGAGAGGGGAAACCGACACCAGACAGACACGGTGTGAGATTCGGGTGTACGGCCTTGCAGTTCCTGAAGCCAGTCAGTCAGTCAATATTGTTAATGTACCTTGTTAATTTGATAGGATTTGTCAGGTAACTCCACTGGAAAATTATATAAAACTGTTCCAGATGAAAAGATGATAGTGACATGAATTAAAGTGATAGAACAATAGTGGAATATAAACCAGAAATGACACCCAAAGTGGCCGTTGATTTATGGCCGTCCTGAGTTTGGTTCTGGGCTCCCATGTATATTAGCGCTACAAATCTGGGTCCATTTAGCAGAGGGACGCTCATACATACATCACCAGCTCCTGCTCCAAGCCAAGGTCACTCCCCATTGCATCAATCTTTTCAACAGCGCCTACTCCACAAAGCAGGACTTTTGTAACCGTCTCAGACGTAACAGACTCGCACCCGCCTTCATCTTTCTTTTATCATGTAAAGTACACTTTAACTTCTATTATTTTTATCTGCAAATTGTTACTGTAAGGTTCATCCATTATGGGTGCTATCTTGGCATCAATTGCCTATGCACTGCCTGGTCACTGAAGATGTTCCCAATGACGGCCTTCCTTGGGGTCACTTCCTAGAGGGGAACCCTAATTTGAGTCTGGGGATGAGGTGGGCAGTGAGTGTGCTAGGGTCAAGGTGGATGGGCAGGTGGAAAACCATGTAAACAATCAGTGAGTTCCCCCCAAACTGTTGGCAAATCGAATTATTTCCCCCCCCCAGAATCAAATCACATTTTCCCGGTGACTTGTAGTTTCAGAGATACTTTATCTTCATTTGGAATTGATCAGTAATTGGCAGGGGCTCCCAACATTTTAGTTTTAAATTTCTTGGCCCCGCAGGCTTTCCGTCAAGTAGTTAATGATCTGTAGAACACTTGCCTGCCTAACGGAGTCACTATTTAATTTTTTTAATTAAATTTTTTTTGGTACCATACCCAGCGATGCTCAGGGCTTACTCCTGGCTCTGCACTCAGGGATCACTCCTGGCAGGACCTGGGGGATTAAAAGTGGTGCCACGGATGGAACCTGGGTGGGCCGCATGCGAGGCAAGCACCCCACACACTGTATTACTGCTGCGGCCCCAGGAGTTCCTATTTAAAGAAATCTGCAGGGGACTCTTTCCTAATGGGAAAAATCCTTTGTACATTAACAATCTCATCCTATGGGAGACATGTGTCTTAACTCCTTACAACAGACAGGACACAAGGCTCATGGGGCACCATCCTCTCTGCTGGACATGAGGGTGCCCTCTGCACCCTGTTCAGGAGGGCCCAAGGATGTCTATGGCAGGAGACGATTTCCTGAGCCCACAGTTAAAGACGAGTATGCGGGACCCCGCCTGGAAGCAAGCAGAGACCTTTTCTGTCCCCACCGTGGGAAAGACCAGTTAGGAGGTGATGCCCTGGGCAGTGAGGGAAAAGCAGTGCCTGGCTCCGGGGAGGCTTAGTGAGGGGACGAGGCTGTAGGTGAGGTGGGAGCAGGGGCGGCAGGCCGGCAGCGCAGGATGTGGCGAGCGCTGTGCTGGCCAGGGAAGGTGGCGGCTGGGAGGAGGCGGCTGATGCCTATTTCCTGTGCTCATTTT